TTGATTATTGATTGCAACCGCCAACAGAATAACCTTTGACCAACCTTGGTAAATTTGGAAAATTCTTAGCTCTAACTTTGGTTGGACGCAGAAGTTCCAACCATCCACATGTTAGTTTGTTATTGGTGGGTTCACTTTAATTTTTATATTTTAATTCTTTATTTATTTAGCATAATTAAAAATATTAAATATTGATAAAACAAAGAAAGATGAATCCAACAATAACAAACTGACATGTGAATGGTTGGAACTTGTTCGTCCAACCAAAATTGGAGCTAAGAATTTTCCGGTAAATTTGCCATCCTACTCCTCATAGGCGGAGCCAACCTATATTGCCCTGGTCCCATGATAGGGCTAATATTTGGTTGGTAAAAAAATTCCACATATATGTATCCAACACCTATAAGTAATATAAAGATATTTTGCCACTACATCACAGCTCATTACCTGTTTAATAATTGATAAAAATTAATTAATTTGTTCCATTCATAATAATTGTTCATTAATAGCTTGTTGGGTATTGTCATGATGTTATGAGATTTCATGAATTGAAAGAAATTGATGAATTATCCAGAATAATGATGGAGACAAAAGTACGTAAGTCATATCCGTCCGTCAGTTGATTTGCTCCTGAAATTAGTTTTGATTCTACCAGTTACAACTGTAAGTGTAGAAATAACATTTTTAGCTTGAACTATACTAATATAAAGTTTTGAACTTGAATTGGTGATCAGTTTGCTAATTATGGTTTAATAGGATACATTGATAGAGACTTACTTAAGAGTATAGACACGAATGTATTTTGCATTGCTTTGAGAATATAAAAATTCGTCATGGTTTATTTATGCTAACATCAATTGTATTAGTTGGTTATTAATTTATCTATAAATGAATTATTTAAATATTACTGATTTTAATTATATTAATTATATATTTATATTTTGAAAAGAGTACATAGGTAGTTTTAAATGCTGCCTCGAAAAAAAAAAAATGAATTCATGACATGGTCTTTTCATTTCAGATACCTACATCTCACAAACAATTCTAGAAACCAATGCTCATAGATTTTGCCCACGAATGCTTAATCCAACGCATCACTTATTAATTTAGCCCGCAGCAGTAAGCTCTCTGTGTCAAACTTCTTTGAATGGCGGAGCCGCCTACGAGTACGAGACCGTCCCTCGAGGTCGAGGTCAAAACAATATTCAAATAAATAAGAACAGAAAAAACCACTGCCTAGGAGCAGAATGACTAGTCAAATGTCGTCCAACTCGGCGAACCTGCGAAAACCAAAACCAGTCTGACCATTTCGCCCACTGCCCAGAGACCCAGATCATCGCTAACATATACAAAGAAACCAGGAACCGAGAAAAGGTCAGTTTCGTAAATAAAACACAACACGACCAGAAAAGGAAAGGGTTTTAGCTACTGCAGCTGCCTGCAACTTGCAAGCAAACCTCACCTTAGCTGGCTCCACACTCTCCTTCATCATCTCATCCTCTCTCTCAAACTTTACCTTTCTCTACCCTCCTGTCCTGCCTCCTTCCATCACCATTCTTTCATCATCATCTTCGCCACCATAGTCGACCAAGTCCCTCTCTTTCTCTCTCTCTCTCTCTCTCTCTCACTCTCCACAAAAAAACCCAGTCTTCAACCTCACCCCTATATGCTTCTCACCGCTGCCATTTCCCTTCTCCAAGCCCAACCCAACAGAAAGCTCTAATCTTTAGTTATCTTCGCCTCAACCATGGGCGGCAACGGCAAGCACCGCTGGAAAATCTCCTTCCACCACCGCTCCAAACCGCCGCCGCCACCGGAACCCCCGAAGGAGTTCCTCTGCCCGATCTCCGGCTCCCTCATGTCCGACCCGGTCGTCGTCTCCTCCGGCCACACCTTCGAGCGCCTCTCCGTCCAGGTCTGCCTCGACCTCGCCTTCCTCCCCATCCTCGACGACTCCTCCCTCCCCAATTTCGCCGCCGTCATCCCCAATTCCGCCTTCAAGAGGACGATTCACAACTGGTGCGACGCCTCCGGCCTCCCGCACCCTCCGCCGCCGGACTACGCCTCCCTCGAGAAGATCGTGCGGGGTAAGATGAACGACTCGCCGTCGTCGTCGATTTCGAACGGGAATCCCGATCTTAGGGTTTCAGAGAGGGAGCTGCTCAAGGCCGTGGCGGAGAATCCTCCGATTTTATTCTCCCACGCCGCGACCGAGGTGAGTCCCCGAGTTAATCATTTCTACTCCGGATCGTCGGAGGAGTCTGTAATCGTCGACGGCGGAGGAGATGCCAGTCCTGTCACTCCGGTCACCCCGCTTCCTCTGGCTACGAAACCAGCCTGCTATTCCTCCGCCACGTCGTCCAATTCGTCCTCCGAGATAACCGAGCTCGAAACCCTAACCCTAACTCAGACTCCGAGCTCCACCAATTCGTCCGATTGCAGCAGCTCCTCGATCCCCGAGGAGGCCGAAATCGTGGCGAAGCTGAAAAGCCCCGAGGTTCACGAACAGGAACAAGGCGCGATTCAGCTGCGGAAGCTCACCAGGACGAGAGACGAAATCAGGGGTCCGCTCTGCACTCCGCGGCTCCTCTTGTCGCTTCGCAGCGCCATCGCGTCGAGGTACAGCGTGCTGCAGATCAACGCCATGGCCTCGCTGGTGAATCTATCCCTGGAGAAGCCGAACAAGGTGAAGATCGTGCGGTCCGGATTCGTCCCTTTGTTGATCGATTTCCTGAAGAATGGGTCGAGCGAGTCGCAGGAGCACGCGGCTGGGGCGCTCTTCAGTTTAGCTCTGGAAGACGAGAACAAGATGGCGATCGGCGTGCTGGGGGCGCTGCAGCCGCTGATGTACGCCCTGAGATCGGAGAGTGAGCGGACTAGACACGATTCGGCCCTGGCATTGTACCACCTGACCCTGATCCAGAGCAACCGGGCGAAGCTGGTGAAGCTTGGAGCGGTTCCCACGCTGCTGAGCCTGGTGAAGACGAGTGGGCTGGCGAGCAGGCTGCTGCTGGTGCTCTGTAACCTGGCGGTGAGCGCGGAAGGGAGGTCTGCGATGCTTGATGGGAATGCAGTGGCGATACTGGTGGCAATGCTGAGGGAAGGCGAAGGAGGTGGAAGGGGGGATGCGGAGGTGATGGGGATCAGGGAGAACTGCGTGGTGGCGCTGTACTCGTTGAGCCATGGGAGCTTGAGGTTCAAAGGGCTGGCGAAGGAGGCGAGGGCGGGGGAGGTGTTGAGGGAGGTGGAGGAGAAGGGGAGCGAGAGGGTGAGGGAGAAGGCGTGGAGGATAATGCAGATGATGAAGGGGAGAGACGAAGAGGCGGCTGAGGAAGTGGATTGGGAGGAGGTGCTGGAGTCGGGTGGATTCAGCAGGAGCCGGTACCACCGGGGAATGCCTGCCGGTGGGGGCGGGAGGAAAGCTGCTGCTCCGATTTCCAGTGAGTTCTGATGGCCGGGGGGTGGTTTGGTGTAAATAATAAGTTACATGGTGGGTTGATTGATTGATGAAGGATTGGGAGAAGAGGGTGAAGTACTGTTCTTGTACTGGTTCTTCCTTTACTTTTGGTTTGTGTTTGTATAGAAGAAAAGTAGGCAGGTTATGCTTAGTTTAGTGTTTTGATGTATTGCCATTTACCAGACATTTACGGCGGATAGCAGTGAAGCGGTAAAATGGCCGGCCATGGATTTGGTTGATTATGGAAGAGAGTAATTGTAAATTTTGTACGGGGCTGGCTGGCAGGCTGGTGGCCTGGTTATTTATTTGTGTACAGAACTTGAGGTAGGGAGCTCTGGAGGAGTGATTAGATTATAGATATGTAAGCTAGTATTGGTAATATCATAGTGTTTGCTGAGTTAGTTCTGGGTTGCTGTGATTGAGCAAAGAGAAGTTGATTTCCAGAATGAATGGTGGTGAATTTGGTTGCCTGTTAGTACATAGATGAGCATGGGATATGGCGATAATGTGCAAAATGTCAACAATGGCTTCCTTCCATAACCCAGATCAGATGCCTCGAATAGGATCAGAATTCAGTAGGATTGGAAAGACCCTTGACACATTGACACCGGTGGCTGGGAGGCTTCTGCTGCTGCTGTGTGGCCATGAACTTAATCCAAGTAGCTCACTAAGTTATTAGTTATGGACCCATTTATGATTGATCGAGGACTGCACACCCAATTGCCCAGCAAAATCAAATAGCTCACCGAATGTTGTTTTTGTTTCGTGTCCGTATGAGTCATGCTTTATAGTTGACTGTCACTAACGACTTAACGAAATTAACATTAATGACACTTAATGATTCATTAACAATTTAACATTAATGACGAATAAGAAGAAAAAGTATTTTCAATAACAAACTTGAAAAAAATTAATAAATTGAGTTGAGTGACCATGCATGTAATTTGGAAAAAAACTAAAAAAGTCTCCCACTTTACTTTGGCAACCGGGAAGCCCCTACTGACCCTCAGTCTCAGTTAGGGATGACAATAAAACCCGAACCCACAGGTACCCGCCCACCTATATAATTAATTTTCTCGGCATATTTAATATTCTAAACAACTAATCTTATTTATGTTTGTGGAGACATGTCTAATTTTTTCTTTCTAGTTATGTAGAATGAAGTTGATTTATTGAGTGGAGAGTGAAAAACTTAATTGAAAGGAAGAAGTTTCGATTAATCATGTTATTTATGGATAATTTGTGATTTGCTTTAATTTTCTTGAGTTTTTTAGATTGGTGTTGAACAATTTGTGTAGTTAATTTGTGATTTGCTTGAATTTTCAAGAATGGTGTTTTATATATGGATAATTTTTATAGAGAGATTGATATTTGACTTTAATTTTGATAGAAATTTGTTATTGTGAATTTTTTACGACAAAAACCCGTGGGTACCCATGAACTCGCGGATACCCAGCGGGTTGGGTTGGGTTTGAGTTTTTCAAACCCAATGGGTTTTACCCCGGGTTTTTTTCACGAATAAACCCATGAGTTTAGATTTGGGTTTGGTAAAACCCGACCCAACCCGACCCATTGCCATCCTTAGTCTTAGTTCGGAATCAAACCATCATCCGTCATCGCCGGGAATTCTGAAGCCAGAACCCGTAAGAGAAAGCAGCCGTCAAAGCAGCTCAAGCCCGAAACTTAACCAAAATTTTCGAAACCCACTAAGGAGCAACAATACCCATACCCGATTCACCTTCGACCTACCCCTCAAGATTGCCGCGCCATTCGCGACTCCGTCCTTTCTCACCATGGCTTCTCGCCGGAGTCTGTCAAGTATCGCCGGGGGAGACCAAGTATGTGCCCAGATGACGGCAATTCCCAAAAACAGCTTGGAATCATCTGGAGCACCGCTGGACAGCGAGGAAGCGGAAGAGAGCGTTTTGGATGGTCTACTGAGGTTAATTCCTCGAGAGCATTCTCCAATCTGAAATCTGCTTTCCCCCACTTGGGAAGATGTGAGCTCTTTGTTGGTTGTTTCCTTGGCTGCCCTGGTACTGAAAACTGGACAAAAAGTTTTCGTCTTTCCTGTTTGAGGTATGCAGATGTTTAATGGGGATGTGGTGTTCGTCTTTGTATTGTTAAAGGTGCTTGCTGCTGAACCAAAAATCCGTGGAGGATTCCATAAGGTGTGGAGGTCTAGCTCTGAGGAAGACTTCCTGCATCAGAAACTTGTTGAGCGGTTTGCAGGAGAGAAAAGGCAAATTGTGTTTGGAATATTTGCGAAATCTATCAGTTGACGAAATCAAAGCTGAGCGCTCTCTTTTCAAAGGAATTGGCCCCAAAACTGTAAGTTTCTCAGTCCATAGTCCCCTTATGGTTGTTATTTAGAGAGGAAGTATAGATCAGTTGCGTTAATTGTTTGGAATATGGTACTTCTGTTTCGAAAACAAGTTTGTTTGTGTTAGGCGCCATTGTTCTCTCCTGGAACAGAGTTGATAAGTTCAACAGGGCACCTAGTCGTGTACGGTTCACTTGGATCAAGATGAGTGGAGAGGTTGGTTTCATTCTCAAGGATGGACATTGGTTCGTCTTCCGTGATATCCATGAAGTTAATCTTCTGGAATGTGGAATTGTTGAAATGATAAATAAGTACTTGTCACATGTTTGGATTCGTAATCCATCATTGTGGAACACATTAGTTCCAGGGATAAGATTTAATCTCATTTAGTTCTTTGCAATCAATTTATCATGTTAATGTTCTTCTTGATAGAGATGTCCCTAACACATGAAGCTGTGACCAGAACGAACTTCAGCCTTTCGTTCATTCATTGCCATGAAAATAAGATTAGCTTTCATTCCTTTATTTCTAGGTGCCTCCTAAGAAACAAGTTACCATTTTTCAAATGGTTGCAGTACTGGAGTTTAGTTTATTGATTGCACTTGTACTTTCTGGCTATAAAATGTCATTTTGGAATATCTCTGTCAGAGACAAGTACTTGGAAACAGCTAGTTGACATGAACTTGGGTTTGGCATTGTTGACATAGGTTTTTGTAACTGTACCTTTTGAAGCCAGGCGTTTATCTTGCCTTCCCCCTTTTACTTAATCATATTACATTTTCTCGTATTCCTTCATTGGCAAGTTCTCTATCATCACCATGTTTATCAGTCCTTTACCTAGCTAAATGTTGCTCTACTTATTGCTTGGAATTCATGCGAGGTGAATAAATTGGCAGGTAACTTGTGTTCTAATGTCCAATCTTCAGCATGATGACTTCCCAGTGGACACACATGTGAGCTCCAGTCCCGGAAACTTAAAATTAACAAGTTCTGTAAATCGATTTTTCCGACGGTACCAGGCGAGGCAGACCGGAATAAGACGTACATTCATCCTAATCAATGGATCCCTGATGAACTGAAGTTTGATCTAAATTGCCTTCTATACGCACACAGTAAGCTTTGTCAAAGATGCACCAACAAAGTGAGCAACGTCAAAAAGAAGGATTCCCATGAGGGATCATGTCCTCTTTTAGCTTATTGCTGCAACTTTCCTGTAGCTACAACAGACAAGTGAGATAATTGAATTTTCATATAACATATGTCATTCAGTTGTTTCGTTGACAGATAGAGTGAGTATTTCTTTTCAGTGTGCATTACTTGTTGAAATCCTTGGTTTACATTCTAGATTAAAGAATTATCTGCCAAAACAAGAGTAAGAGAACAGTGGAGTACATGTAGAAATACAATATATTCAACGGAAGTTTGGGTCAGGGCAAGATAGCATCCTGCTGTTTCTATATTTTCATTGCTTAGATCCAACAAAACATTGTTTACATACCAGAAAACCAAGGACTATTTGATGTTTGAGGTAGTAGTTTAAAGACAGGGATATAAGGGATTTATGAATGATATTCCATTTAGATGAGTTGACGGATATTATATGAAATCATAATCCAAGAGCCCTACAAGACCAGTAAGGTTAACTTGGTGTTTTGTCAAAGTATGCTAGAATAATAGTGAAGACTTTCGTGAAGCTATTAGATATATGTTCATGGGAATACAACATTGTGCTAGCTTTATGTAAAAAGATATATAGTGATAGACACAGATCTTGTTGATGTCGCTTTTGATAGCAGATATGCTATCATCACTTTCCACTTATGTTATTCCTTAGTTGAGCAACTAATAGGTATCCTGATCTCTTCAGCAGCATGAAGCTTTAGGAACTGTTACAAAAAGGTATTGGTAAACAAGCATTTGATACTGGAAAATAGCCATAATAGCTGATGGCAGCAGTGTTCGGTGGAATTTGTTTTCAGATTAGTGGCATCCTAGCTAGAATGTCCTCACCACTTTGACTTCCAGGATCACCTCAAATTTGTAGAGGGCATATCTCCTTGAGCTATGTACATGCTCATCCATTTGCTCAAGTTGTACAGGAACACTGAAAAGAGTAATGATTTGGAGGACTTTGTGGATTCTTCCTCGATGTGGAAAGATTAATGCATACCTAGTGACATTTGCTATGATCCTTAGTATTATATATGTATAAGTTGCCTAACAGCCAATGTCTGAATTATCTTTTGCATTCTCTCTTTGCCTTTTGGGTATCTTCCTCCATAACTTTATGCTGTTCATGCACCAAATGTCTGCTTTACAGCCGTAATTTGCGTTATGCGATCCAATTCTGTTTTCTATTTATGGCATAGACTGATTTTTTCCAGTGGAGGTATAACAAAACTTCAGTTGAATTGTATTATAAAGACAGTGCTCTTGTCCTCTTTGGTTTTTTGGATCAAGTAGTTGCTTGTAGTTTAAGATTGCTCATGGAGGTGAAGCTGTTGAAGCTATTTGGCTTTGAGGTGAATGCTCACATCAAGGATGAGAAACAGCTCGAGGGTTCTAATAAAGGAGCTGAGAGTGGGGAATCTTCAAGCTTCGAAGTCTTGCCTGCTATTTTGAAAGACGCAGAAGAAGGAAGAATGGTATGCGAAGCAGAGAAGAAGAAGTTTGAATGCCAGTTTTGCTTCAAGGAGTTCAAAAACTCGCAAGCATTAGGGGGTCACCAGAATGCTCACAAGAAGGAGAGATTAAAGAAGAGAAGAATGCAACAGCAGGACTCCAACTTATACCTCGAGCCTCCACAAGGTCATACCAATCTCATGTACTATCAGTATCTTCCATGGTTCGACGCTTTCTCTTTCGCTCCACACAAGGAGCCACTCATTAGCTTCAACTCGACAACAGGTCAGAACCAGAGTTCACTCAATGGTATGTCATCGCATCTTTCTGAATCTGTTGATATTGTCCCTGGAAGTAGCAACAGATCTGTGATCGTGAGGCCTTCCCCATCGTACATTTCGAAAGATTCTCAGCATCTTTATGTTCAACTAGGCCTTGCTCTGCAGCCAGGTACCAGCAGCTCATCTGGAAATGGCTTGTGATTTTGTGCTGGTGTGTGGAAAATGAAAGATTGTGAATTTCCTGCATTTTTGTTTCTTTCTACTCATGCCCATTGTGGTGAACAAATAAGATTACATCTTTGTATGCGATTTTCGTTTCAGATCGTGACAGTAAATTAAGTTACTGCATGCATTAAAATTAAGCAAAGATGTTACAGAATGCATTAACCAAAGTACTTACATATAACATCAAACAGAACTTACATCAGTACTCTTTCCAAGTTTTTTTCCCCCAATCAATTTCCTATTGTGTTTCGAATTAATTAAGGTCTTGCTCAAAGCGCAGTTGATTTCTTCTGATCCAATCTGGATTCAATCTCTTTTTTAGGGCAAATTTAAGTCCTGAACGTGTTAAACACGTCACACCTGTCCCTGACATTCCCCTCATCCCCAGTCTTGACATCCACCATCCCCAGCTTCTGCATCCCCTCGGCGAAATCCTCGAAGAAGGCGGTCTGATTCGCAGCGTATCGCTCCACGAATGGCTTCGTCCTCGGATCCTCTGCCATCAGTTGATCCGTCGCCAGGAGTCCCAACCCCTTGAGCAGGTTCCGGTAATACATGTTGTCAAATTTCCCCGGAGTGTACAAATCCAAGAATGCCGACATGGTGGGATCCTTGGTGTAGTTGGAGCAGAACTTCTTCAATGCCTCCGCGTATGTCGGGTTCATGTCGGGGTCCGTGGGGACGTTCTTTTCGTAGTGGTAGATCCTGTCGGCGAACTCCGAGCAGTGGGCGAACCCGAGGGTGTGGGCCCCGACGAGGGCCACCATCTCGTGGACCGTGATCCCTTTGGACTCGAAGAGGTTGATGATGACGTCCATGGTCATGTTGGGCTGGGGGAGGTTGGGCTCCACGTCGCTGAGCCGCGAGACCAGGCTGTCCTTGCGGCCCAGCAGGACTGGGTAGTTGGGCCCTCCCACCATGACCACCAGGTCGCGCACGACCTGGGCCAGGATGTCCGCGCACGAGACGGTCCTGGGGCACGCCAGCTCCAGGGCCGTCTTGGTCCGGGTGACGATGTCGAACCCGTCGCCCGGCAGTGCGTGGTTGAGCTCGTTGTCGCGCTCCTCCTTGTGGAAGCTGTTGGGGGCGATGAGCACCGAGGCGTCGCACCCGTCGACCATGCAGTCGTGGAAGAAGACGCGGAGCGTGGCTGCAGCGGTCGTCGGGGTGGCGATCTGCTTCGTGGTGACCGTCGCGGTCACGATCCTCGCGAAGTCGGGGCACGTGGTTTTGTAGTAGTCGAGTGTGAGTTGTGGCTCGGAATGGGAGAGGTGAGGGATGGAGAGGAAGATGGCGATGGCGAGGAGAAGGAGAAAGGGTGTATTACTAGTCGCCATGGTTGTGGAATGGCTATGCATGGTATGGTTTGTTGGAGAGGAGAAAGAAAAAGGAAAGGCCTCTTCTTTTGTCTTGCTTTCCTTTTTCGTTCTCGAAATGTTTCTCTCTTTCTTTGTGATTATTTGATGGGGGGAGGAGAAAATATGGGTGATGAGAATAGGATGTTGGAACGGTGAATGTGAATGGAAAATTGGTTGGTTCTGTATGTAAGGATGGGAGAGATTGGTGGGGAAAGAAGGTGAAAACTGAAGGTGATTTGTATGTTTTTCTGTTGTGAAACCTGTTTTCTGTAACATGTAATTTAGTTTGTGGCTCTACTATTTTTTTTCTTCCACTTTCGAAGGAATTTAGGTCAATTGGTCGTATTTCCTTGTTTTAAGATTGTCGAAAGTCAAAATTACTTTACTATTATTAGTTAGCTTGTAAGCCCGTTGTTTGTAGTTTGGAACTTTAATTGATGTAAGAACAATTCAAAATTAAGCCTTACATATTGTGCAATCTTTAATCCTCTCAAAACAAAAAAATGATACAACATTTTCGAAATGATGAAAAGGAATTGAAAATGTAATGATAATGGTTTCACATGTTTTTCATTTAATAACGATGTTGTAATTGTAACATTGTTCCATATGTGCTACATTCAATTGATGTTACTTTGAGTAATAGATAATTGTTTGTAGCATATGGTGCCGACATGACTTTCACATCATCACTGTAATACGTTAGACGAATCCTACATCGACAAAGCACGGGAGAGGTCTATGGTTCATAAGTAAGACCGACCTTAACTGACAAGACACGTTTTGGGGTGAAATGAATGAGTTATTGTGAGAACTCCGAAGTTAAACGTGCTCAGTGTGGAGTACAACAAGGATGAGTGACCTTTATGAGAAGTCACCTTGAATTGCACCCCAAGTAAAAAATCGTGAGGGTCTTGGCCCAAAGTGGACAATATCTTGCTCGGAAAAAGGTTCGAGATTTTACAAGTGGTACCAGAGCCTCTCTGCGTCCCTCTTGAACGATGGTGGGACAAACCTCAACGAAGGTCTTGAGTCCCGGGGGGGGGGGGGGGGGTATGTAACACCTTAGGCGAATCCCACATCGACAAAGAACGTGAGAGATACATGGTTCATAAGTCAGAGACCGACCTTAACTGACAAGACGTGTTTTAGAGTGAAATGGAGGAGTTCTTGTGATAACTCTGAAGTTAAACGTGCTTAGTGTGGAGTATAACAAGGATGGATGACCTTATGGGAAGTCACCTTCAATTGCACCCAAAGTCAAAAACCATGAGGGTCTTGGCCCAAAGCGGACAATATCTTGTTCGGAAAAAGGTTCGAGATATTACAGTCGCCGTGATAACTTAATCAGAATAGCAAAGAGACCAACCCTGAGCACTCCCCTTTCTCGTTTATATTTGTTTCCCTCCTTGCTACTAAAAGAACTACGATTCTTTAGGGTTTCGAATAGAATTGAGAATTGGGATTTAGGGAGAACAGAATTGGGGATTTAGAAGAAGAAATTGGGGATCGAGGAGAAGAATGTTCAACGGTCAAGAGATAGGTGACGAAAATTGAGAGGAAGAGAGATTAGGGTTTTGAGAGAGATACTTTGCTAATACTTTTTTCATTTTTTTCTCCGACGTAAGACTCAAAGTACATACTTATAATAGAAAGATACCCAAAATCCTAAAATTAACCCTAACCCATTCGGCCGAACTTAGCCTAACTTCTTTACTGCTAATAATTATAATTATATATTGAACAACAGAAGTAATAGGGCGAACCCTAAACCCCTTTGTTTCTAACAATCCCCTCCTCTTAAAAGCAACCTTGTCCTCAAGGTTGCAGTGAACGCCAGCTTTACACTTCGATTTTTCTTCATGATTATTTGGTGGTTGCTTGCGCTTTCTCCGCCTCGAATTGCGCTCCGATACTTGAAACGGATTTCTAGGGTCAGCAACTTCGACCTCTAACAACTCTACTCCCATGAAGTAATCCATATCATCGGGACTAGGCTTAACCGTGTCTGCATCCTCCCTCTCAAGGTCAACCCAATGAACCGAAGGGTTTGTAGGAAATCATCAATATTATCACCACCTGCAACAACCATTACTCCTATGAGCTGGAAGATAATGGTCTGCTATCACCCATGCTCCTCCAGCACACCCATGCTTCCAATATGGGTCTTATTGTTGTTTATTGTTCATTATTGTTCTTCTTCCTTGTATAAATAGATTAGGAACCCTTTGTAACAAATCAAGCTTTCCATCAATAAAATTCATATTCACAAATTCATCATGGTATCAGAGCTGGAATCAGATTCCAGTGAGGGAAAGCCTAAGAAAAAGAAAAGGAAGAAAAGAGTTATGTAGAGTTTCATACCATTCTTCCGAATTTCTATTCTTCTGTTCTTCGGTTTCCACAATACAAAGTTCTCTTTCGATCTTCAGCCATGAGTGAGCATTCTCCAGGCTGCTCCTCGTCAATCATGCTTCCGCCATCAGTCCATTCATTTCCCATCACGAGCATGCCTTTTCCAGGCTGCTCCTCTTCCATCTCATCCTTCCACCATCACAAATAAACACCACCATCTCCGGCCCATCTCAGTAAGGGCCATCTCTCATCCAGGCGAAGTCCTTTCCTCCTTCAATCAATCTCTCTGGCAGATCAATTCCCGGGGAGAGTCTCAGTCCGGCGAGCTCTCTAGTAGCCACTGCCGTTAATCAAATCGAGTCCTCCTCCCCTGCCACTGCTCGTCGCATCTCCGTCAATCCCTGCCGTGACTCATCCGGATCGAGGTAGGGGAGAGGTCCCTGTTAGTTTGTTACCACCGCCATCGAATCCAGTTCTTGTGGCACCACTCTCGTCTTCCCGGCCGCCAGCTTGTGCCTTGGAGGAAGAAGGGATTGCAGATCACCGGCGCGAAGACCATCAGCGTCCGCGACCACATCGATTGCGCCTCTTCCGCCGACACTGCCTTCGAGTTTGTCATCATCGTCGTCGTCGGGCAAGGTTGCTCAGATCCGAGCTCCCGACATTTCCACTATCTGCGACCAGCTGCTCTGTTTGTCGTCAAACGTCCACCACCACCGACGATACCTCTACTTCTCTTGTCGGATCTGTCTCCGTCCGTCGGCCTCCGTCTCCTGTCGCCATCGCCGCCGCCGCTGTTGCTCGAAGAAAAGAAGCAGAGCAGCGAAGTTCACCGCCGTCATCTGCTCTCACTGCCCGGAAAAGACAGATCCGCTGGAGTTGGTCCGCTGCCTCTTCCCTCACCATCGCCGCCGTAATCAGCTCCTCTCCAATCGTTCACTGCTGCTCCTCCGAATCAAACACGATCTGCACTCATCGTCAGTCTCCACCCGCCATCTGCCGTAGATTTCTTGCCGCCGCCGATCTGTGTTGTTGTTGCTGCTGCGGGAGTGCAGAGGAAGAAATGGAACGACAGAGAAGAAAAGGAGAGAAAGGAAAGTTCGTCTGAGAATTGAGAGAGGGAAAAGTGGCCGATGCAAAAAAAAAAAAGGAAGAAGGTCATGGAGGAGCAGTCAGCGGCGGATTCTCCAAGGAAGGGGTATGGGGCTTCTCAACCAAATCGGGCCGTTTTGGGTTTTAAAATCCTAAAACAGATTTGGGCCGCATGCCTACTTTAAATGGTAAAAAAGGGTGGGCCGATCGTACTCTACCACAAAGCTGGGCCAGCTCCAATTCACAAGAGCTCTTTTGGGCCGCAATTAGTTAATGAGCAGAGAAGAATGGATGGGTTGTTATGTTCTCAATTGGGCTTGAAATATAGATGAAGCCCAAACGGAGACAACCCATTTTTTATCATAAGCAGCGGCCAGCAAAGGGAATTTCTTTTCCCCAACACCTACATGAGTCAAGTTGGTTACAAGTCGTCATCCCAATGGTTCTAATGTCCCATTTTCAGGTTGTGGCAAGTTTCATTTGCAGGTAAGAAAACAAATCATCACCAAACAACGTTAAAGCAGTGAAGATCATTACAACCCAAGAGTTGGTCGTCCCTCCACTAGCTATTGTTGGAGTGAATGACAGTTTTTGCCGGCAAAGAAAGTCAAACCACTATTCGAGGATTTCCGATTAGGTTGATTACCTTGACGTTTTTAGACGGTTATCCGATCCAAGAAAAGATCGGCCCCTCGGCGTCCAAAAGGAAAATACAACCCAAGAAAAGATCGGCCCCTCAGCTTCACGAGGCACTCTCGATCAGATCGTCCCCATGGCGTTTTTAGACGGTTGTACGATCCAAGAAGAGATCGTCCCCTCGGCGCTTCAAATGGAAGAAACGATCCTAGAAAAGATCGACCCCTCGGTGTTTATTATTGGGCTAAGACCAATTATTCTTCACCTTTCAAGCTGGGCATTCACAGTGTTCATGCTCCAACTTGAGGGGGAGAATAGGGAGGATAGGGATGCTAGCCAGCCAAGAAGCCGCAACATATCCTAAATTGAAGTTCCAGCGAAAAGATGAAGGGAAAGCTAGCTAGCCAATGAGAGCTGCTGTTCCAAAAAGAGGAAAGTTAGCTGAGAAGCAGCAACTTTTCCTGGGAGCCGTAAACGGCGCAAACCCGAACCAGTGAGTCGATTTATATCGACATATCCATCAGGTTGCTCAAAGAGACCAACCTTGTCCAAGATGTCAGTCATCTTGAGTTTTCAAGAGGCAGTACCGATCCAAGCAATGATCGTCCCCTCTTCATTCTATACCTTTCCTTTTCAAGCTTGACATTCTTGTCATTCATGTCTACGCTTGAGGGGGAGTGTAGGAAATCATCAATATTATCACCACCTGCAACAACCATTACTCCTATGAGCTGGAAGATAATGGTCTGCTATCACCCATGCTCCTCCAGCACACCCATGCTTCCAATATGGGTCTTATTGTTGTTTATTGTTCATTATTGTTCTTCTTCCTTGTATAAATAGATTAGGAACCCTTTGTAACAAATCAAGCTTTCCATCAATAAAATTCATATTCACAAATTCATCAGGGTTCACTT